GGTGTGGTTCTACACATCCACTTCCCACCATGGCTATAAACGATTCGGAACCACAGACTGTCTCTTTTCATCGGGATCGGCCATGGGGAGCCATGGAGAAGGCCTTTGCCTATGGAGCCACTGTCTACACTGTCTAATCTCCCGTAAAAGGCCTCTCTGCATTCCTAGCCACAACTACCCCCAAACCAGCCATCAAGCCAAGGGCTCTCACTGTGGGACAGGCCGGAGCTCCCCATTTCTCCCCTCTTTCTCTCCCCCACCCTCCACTCCCTGGGCTAGATCCAGCCTGCAGGATCCCACTCCATTCTCAGCTCTTCCAAGGCTCTCAGCGGTGCCAGGATGTAGGAAAGCCTAAGAACCACACAGGCTCACCTTGTCACAGGCTGGTGGACCCCCGAACCAGCTTCTGCTATTCTGCACTTCAGACAGTGCTTTCCCACGTCTGAGCTGTGCCTCTTTGCTTCCCTACAGTCCAGCACCCATGGGGCGTGGCCTGGGACAAGTGCAGTCAAACTCCCCGTGTTTTGCCTCTTTAAGCCGCCATGCCCTGTGGCAGAGCAGACACAGGACCCAGAGCCCTACAGGTGGGGTTGGGTTCAGGTGGCTTGGGATCTTGTAGCTGGGGGTGGGATGGAGAGAGAGAGTTTGGAGAGAGATGGTTGGAATTGGGGAGGGGCTTTTGGGGGATGGTGTGAAAATGAGTGTAGTGGAAACTTCCTAGACTATGAAGATGACCCTAATGAAGATTTTATGGTGGGTGGTGTGCAAACTCATCTTTTACACTCAGGCAAAGCTTCCATTGGTGGGACTAGAGTGCATTCAATTGAGTTGTTGGCTAAGTGAGTCTTATGGAAATTCCCAAACAACCCAGGCTATTGCTAAGATAAAAGGCTGCTCTCCACCCACACAGCACATTGACCATGGAGAAGTCAAGCTGGCATGTATACGAAAGCCTCACTCCTATGGTCTAGTCTCTCTGGTATGGGAAAGTACTCCACGGGCTACTGAACGAGAAATATGAACACCAAGTCAGCCACAGAACCTTCGACCTATAATCTGTCCAGTTCATACCCACCACAGCTCAAGTGACCAAGAATCAAAAACTAGATAGTGAAGATTTCTGAGGTAAACTCAAACATTACTAGAAAACAAAATCAATAAAGTGATTTCTAATGATAGTTTGCTCTCCTTATAGATAAATGCCTTACCCAGTCGTCATCAGAGAGGCTTTTTCTGGCAGCATAGGGGAACAGATGCAGGGACCCACAGCCAGACATTATGCAGAAAGTGTCTAAATTGGAGGTCTCCATCGAATCCCTCCTCTCAGAGGCAGAGAACATGGAGACCACCAGGAGAAAAGGACCCTTCCATCAACCAAGTAAGGCACATGTGAGCTCACAGAGGTTGAAGTAGCCTACACAGGCCTGCACTAGGTCTTTTGCATATTATATGTTATAGCTTTTTGCTTAGTATTTGTATGGGACTCCTGACTGTGAGAACGAGTGGGTCTCTGACTCCTGCACCTACTCTTGGGACTCTTTTCCTCCTGTTGGGTTGTTGTGTCCAAGTTTGAAGCTTTTTCTTCATCTATTATATTTTATTTTGTCATATTTGGTGGTTGTATCTTGGAAGCCTATTTGTTCCTAATGAGAGACAGAAAGGGAGAGGATACAGTGGGGAGGGGAAGCAGGGGGGAGCTGAAAGGAGTAGAAAGAGAGAAAACTACAGTCAGGATATATAGTATGAGAAAAGATTCTGGTTTCAATACAAGGAAAAATGGGCAAAACCAAAGACTTGCTTTGCTGAGTATCATCAATATGAATGAATAATTACAGTTAAGGACAAAGTTTGACACCCACACATGGTGCCATATTTCAGAAGAAATTTTGAATAGTGAAGAATTGTTAGAGTATAGATGCTCACGGATGGCCTCTCTAAAGATAATGCATATATGTACGGAAAGTGAGCAAATTCCCTTATTGTATAGGAGGTGTGACACCAGTCTCAAGGCCCTTGGCTTGATTTTATTGCTTTAAAGAGGATGCTAACTCCTGGGAATCACCTTTAACTTTTGACTCTATAAAGGTGTTTCAAACGGAAATGAGAGAATATTCTGTCCTTTCCTGGCAAATGGAATTGCGTTTCAGGAGCACAAGTGGCCAAAATTCCAAGGCTGGTGAAAGCAGAGGCTGAATGAGTTTAAACCACAGAAGCACCAGGATCTCTCAGACCTAAACAAGGAACGTGCCACCAAATAACCACAACAGGTACACAGCAGGCTGATGGAATCCTTTAAAATGCTGTGTGGTACAAAGTCTGATAGAATGCTCTCCTCTTTTTATTTTATTTCCAGTTGATTTACAATGATATGCAACACCCTTCTGTGAAGGAGATTGGTCAGAATGATCTGTGTCTGAATTTTAATCACACTGGGGCTTGTGAGGAGTGTCTCACTTTGAGTGTTCCTGTCTAGTTGGTAACTCTGCTTGGCAACTCTATTTTAGAGTGAACAGTTTACTGGTTCTGACACGTCTATGGCAGCATCTAACTGTGTTGTCTAAGAACTCCATTTTCTTTTTGAACTTAATTTTTTTTTCCCCTCTGAGGCCAGAGAACAGATGCATTAGTAGCAGTTCTAGTGAGGTGAGACTCTGGAGCCCTGGTTTCATCATCTTTCATTCTGTGTGTTTTTCTGGGCTGAACTGCTGCCAGTGGATGATCTGTGCCGTCTTCCCCATAGATTGCATGAAGATGACTGGCAACCGGATGTGTTACAGTTGCATAGCCCGCTCCTCAAGAGGGATTCACAACCTGACAGTGTCTGATGGACAAGTTGGTCCTCAGAATCCCACTTTTCTACCTTCAGCTCACCTGTGATGGCCTGATGGCTGAGTAGAATAGAAATGAATTGGAGAAAAAGCAAGAGAGGGCTTTGGGGACTTTGGTGAGAGGAAGGCAACACAATTTCTGACCCTCATAGTTTTTCAGTCATGTTTTTAGACACTTGTTGGAACTATGGTGTGTTCAATACTACTCTAAGCTCTGGGAATGCAAATGCTAAACAAAATATCTGAAAAACAAACTAAACCAATCAAATATCCAATCAAACCAAATAAAACTAACCAGTCCAACCAACTGAACCCAAACAAGCAACTGGCCAACACAAATTAATCAATCAGCTAACCAACCAAACCAGTCAACCAGCCAACCAACAAAACCAATCATCAAAATAACTAACCAACCAACAAACTAATCAAATGAACTAACCAACAAAATGAGCCAACCAACCAACAGAACTAACAGAACCAACCTACCAACCAACTAACCAACTCAACCAAACAACTAAACCAACCCACTAACCAAACAAACTAATCATCCAAACTATCCAACCAACTAACCAAACCAGTCAAGCACCTAACCAAACGAACTAAGCAACCAAACCAGCCAACTGACCAAAAGAATCAACCCATCCAACTTATCAACCAGCCAAACCAACCAACCAACCAACCAACCCAACTAACCAAACTAACCACATCAACCAACTCAGCCAACCCATCAACCAAGCAATCTAACCAACCCACCCACCCACCCACCAACCAACCAACCAAGCCAAACCAGCCAACCAACCCAATCAACCAACAGAACAATCCAAAGACACCCCCCCCACTAGCCCCATGCCCCACACACATAAAAATTGAGACCATCAAAGTCCCTCCCCTCATTAACAAAGATAATATCTAGTAGCAAATACTTGGGAAGTAAATAAATGTCTAGATTCAGTCAGTGACAGCAGGGGTGACAGCTGGGGGCAGACACAGCTTCCCATTTTGTAATACTGTAATACTGTTAAGCACTGCCTTAACACAAATTGATTTCACTGACTTTAAGATTCCAGGTTCTTTGTCTGACAAATGTCACACTTGTGTACAAGCGTTTGTACTTTATTTAGAATGCCAGTTTAGAGGGTTGCAAGGAAGAAAAAGGACTAGTGCGCCTTTGTGGGTAAGCTCTGGGAAAGATTACCTTTGAGCAGAGTGGTCAAAACCTCTCCAAGAAAGCCGCCAGGTGGCACCTGTAAGGCGCAGATGGGGAGAGCCATTTGCCCCACCCCCACAGCCCGGACTATCCAGGCTACCCCTCACCCCGCGGGCTTGTTCGCAAGGAAGTGGGGGAGTTTCAGTCTCTTTCCAGACAGCATAATTACACACCCAAATTTTCTGACACCTTAAACACACCGAGGGCGGATTGTCTCCACACAACCAGGCTGTCAAAGGCACTAGCCTGGCGATTGGGAGCACTCGCCACTCTTCAAGGTGGGGAGTGGCTGTGGGCTGCTCCTGTGCCCAGGTCTGCTCAGCCCGGATCTAGGGAGAAACACTGGCAAGGGCGAAACAGTTCTCAGGCAGGACCCTGACACGCAGAAGTCATCAGGACGTGGGACAGAGCTTCACACTCCTCTAACACCCAATCTTCCTCACAGGGACAGTCAGTGGGGACCAGTCTGAGCCACCTTCTTATGTCCCTTTACATTTCCCCCTTCTGCAGCCGCTTCTCCTGTCCGGGTCGCACTGTGGCTGCCTTGAGCCACCCCCAGCTCCTCCCCTGTGATCTCGCACCCCAGGGTGTGCAGCTGCCTCCAGAGACAGCGCAGAGTCTGAGTGGCGGGTGTCAGTAAACAGAAGCAGCGTGTTGTGGTCATTTCGAGCTGTGCAGTCGGGCCACCAACTCCATCTGTGGCAGAGAGGCGAGCTGCACCAGTTGCGAGACTGCCGCTGCTCCTCTTTGGTGGCTGGTTGGTGACATTGGGAGGAGACCGCTCCGAGGGAGTGAGCCTACGACAACGAGGAAGAGAGGCAAGGCGTTGGGGGTGGGGACGTGGCGACAGTGCCAGGGGGCGTGTGAGCTGCAGGCGAGGAGCAACTTCTCCCGGGCGCGCGCTGCGGGGCGGCGGGCGGAGCGTGAGCTGCCAGCCCGGAGCGTGGAACCGGGAGCCTGGAGGCTCGGCCCGCGCCCTGCACGCTACCATCCTCCGGGTTCCCAGCCCCGGGTGCTGAGCTCGCCGCTATAAATAGCAGGTTACAGCTTCTGCTTGGGCGCACACGCTCTCACTGGAGAACGCAGGAAAGTCATCCTGAAAAGTGCCTGCCGCTGCTATCGCCCCCTACTCAGCCTCTGCAAGAGGTAACATCCTGCCGGGGATCCTGGGGCTCCGGGGAGGGAATTTTGCAGGGTGCGGCGGGTGAGGATGGGTGAATCCGGAGGCTGTGATCGCGCGCATCAGAGAGCTCAGGGTGGTGGTGGTGGTGGTGGGGAGTACGTCCTGCCTGAGAGGCAGCTGGTGTCTCTTATCAAGTTTCCCAGCCGTGATCCTCCCTTCAGCCTTGCCTCCCAGGGGGTGACTGCTGGTGGTACCCCTGTGACCCTGATTATTGTCTAGCGGAGCTTGCTCGGCCTGACACGCACTCGTGAAAACACACACACACACACACACACACACACACACACCCCAGTTCCAATCCCCAGGTGACACTGAGCTCTGGCCCAGCTGACCTACCCAGGTTACAGCCCCCCTGAGCGGTCCTTCAAAGATGCTGCAGCGACTGGAGTGCTTGGGGGCTGCTTCTCAACCCTAGTCCCAGTCACTGGCTGCCGCCTGCTTCAGAGGAAGTGGTCCTGGTCCTTAGGACATGGAAGGGATACTGGGGTCGCAGTTAATTAAAGAGCTCTCTCTCCATGGCCATCTCCAGCCCCACCTTCAGCAACTCCTGCCCCTCTCACCCCTAAGCCAGGCCTGTTTCTCCTAGGCTACCTTCATGTTCTACCTACCCCAAAGAGGAGTCAAGGAGTTAGAAAATCGGGGCTTCAGAGTCAGAGTGGGTGATGAGAGGACCATGGGGAGTCTCAGATTTGCACTCCAGCCTCCTTGAGCTTATCTGGCCCCTCTGGCAGGGCAAGGAGCCTGAGTAAATCCAGGAGCCTGCTGCTAGTGTTGGACTTTCAGCGTTGCAACCAGCTAGTTCTAGGTGATGCTAGAACCAGAAGCACCAGTATTTGTCCCTCTCCACCTTTCATTTTGCTTCCCTCTGGGGAGGTGGTTTCTGCCCCGGGAGGACACCCAGTGATTTCTGTTTGGAGACAGAAGCTTTATAGGTGAGGATATGCATATTGATGAGATAGTTGCAGCCACACAAAACTTACTGGAAAAACCCAGAGGAGAGAGAGGCAGCAGTTGCTGTTAGGGGACGGAGGTTGATTATGTGGTCCCGGCAGCACCAACTTACCAGGGAAACCCTGCGGGACATTCTATCACACTGGGTTTTATGATGTAGAATGTCTTTCTTTGTTTATCTTACTTTATGTTTTTCTTTCTCCTGATTCTGGCTTCCTCTCTCTTTCTAAAATGACATTTGAGGTCATTATGTGGGTATTACATCTTGCTTACATTTTCCCTCAGTATGAAAGAAGTGATTTATAAAGGTGTAGCTCTATAAACGACATGAAAGTGCAGATGAATTGATCTCTTACGTTGGGCACTAGGTGGCCCCTTTTATAATTGTACATCTACAATTAGAGGACCTTGCTTGCACAGGAATCTTCTTAATGAGTTCTAGAATCAGAATGATATCAATCTGACTTGGTTCAGAGACTCAGTAACAGAGTGGCTGTCTGGTGCTGTGTTAGAGTCAGAGTTAGGAGAGGTTTGGACAAGTGAGCACTGTCAGCTCACTCACCGTGGGAGGAAATACATTAGCTCCTGTTCCCTGGGATATACTCCAGGGAAACATTGGCATGAAATCACAGTAATTGATCAGAGCCTCTGGGCTCAGCACATGGGCCTTAAACTCAAACCTGTAGGAGTTGCAGTAAGTTAAAATGCTTCTGAAAAAAAAAGAAAGGAAAGAAAGAAAGGAGAAGAAAAGAAAAAAGGGGTATTTTATGAGAGTCCTGTGTGTGAGAGAGAATGTGTTTCTGAACATTGTGTATATTTTGTGGGTCTTTTGGGGGGGGCTCTTTTTCTTCTATTTTTGGTTTTTGTTTTGTCCTATTTTATTTTACTTTATTTTATTATTTTTCTTTGGATGCCTGTTTTCTAAAGAGAGACAGAGGGGTGCGGATTCAGGTGGGGGGATCTCTTAGGAGTTGAGGATGGTAAACTGCAATCAGAATATTATGTACGAAAAACTATTTTCATAAAAAGAAAAAATATAAGAAAAGAATGTCTTTTTTTTCCTGTGAGTTTCTCTCACCGGTGACTTAAGAGATTGTCCTTGAAAGTCTTTGAAATGTGATTGTGATGAGAGGCTAAGGGCTCTATGTCATTGGGAAACATTTTCTAATTGATTTTTAATATTCTGAATTGTATTCTCACTGATGAGGTAAACCAGTACTTATTTGTGATAAACTGATGGTCAATAGGATGTTTGATACAGGGCTCTGTTCTGACAAAGTGAGGACAGCGTGATAAACTGGCTCTTGGCCCTCAAAACATGTAAAGAATCATCAGAGTTCTGGGCAGAAGGTACTCTTAGGAGACTGGCCTCAGCTCCACTCTGAGGATGCAGGACAGTTGAATGACTTTAAGTCTTACAAGATTCTTTTCTCAAGATACTACGTGACTCTAGTACTGTAGACAAGTCAGTCAGCGTTGGTTAGAAGATGATGCAATTACATCTTAGTTTTCTGAAATGAAAAGTGAAATTAAGCACTGGAGAAGCCAGCTATTTGTTCTACATTATGCAAATTTAAAGTTCCTGATTTCTCTTCTGTAACCTTGCAGTGTCTTCTAGTTACTAGTCAGGTCAGTCCCCACACGGGGAGTGGTTAACATCCACCGTCTTCAGGCAAACTCCTAGAAGGCAAATCCATGAAAGACAGGGACAGCTGCCCACCCATCTTATCTCTTAGCAACCAAGTAGACATCAGTTTCCAGGTAAGCATCCAGCATCTGAAAACACAAAGTCCAAACAGGAGAAAATTGTAATTAGTAAGGAAAATGCTTACTGAATATCTGCCATGTTTGCTTTTTCCACTCAGTGGTGCTAATAGTTAGAGAAACAAATCTCCTATGTTTTATAATCCACATGGAGTAAACGCCTGCCATTCATACAGCACTTTCAATTTGAACATGCAATCACATATTCAAAGCATGTATTTTCTATATTTTGTATATTATTCTTTTAAAGTGACCGATTGCTTCCTTTAAAGATCTAAGGAACATACTCCGAAAGCCACGTTATTGTTTTTCTCTTTTTGTATGTAGCATTAGAAATCTCCTTAGCAGATACTTATCCCACATGTACTTTAATATTCAAGCTGTTCAATACATAATTTCAACATAAACATTTCTCTATAGATAAATCTAAAGGATAATGCTATAATCAAATTTTTGCACGTAAGATTCATGCAGTCTTTGTGTCTCAAAACTTTAGTTGTAGTATATACCTAAGAAAGAGACTGAGATAGTGGAAAACGTGTGAGGAAGCTCTCAGGGTCTCGGGTGTAGCCATCACTGGAGTCAAGATTCCTCAGTTCATCCTCTTTATGCATTTCAATGCTTCATCCGACAATAAGATTTTAAAATGCTTGCTTATGGTGAGGCTGGAGAGAAGGCTTAGCACTTCTCAGAGGACCTAGGTTTGACTCCCAGCATCTACATTGGTCAGCTGACAAGGGCTTTTTGTTCCTGTTCCAGGGGATCTGACAGTTTCTTATGACTTTCTTCAGATATCTAGATACACGCAAAACCTATACACAACACATACATATACACACATGAAAGAAATGCTATGATGTTTCATGGATTCTAACTAAATCTCAGACTAATCAGTCTGTGACTGTTGAAGGACTTGTCTTTTATGCAAGGCACTCTGGTGGCCCATATCATTTACCCTGTGGGTATCTCACTGTGGTCAATCTGTACAAGGCCTATAGATTATGGTTGTGAATTTACATCTTTCCAGTTGTCTTTGTAATTTTGCTGACCTGTGGGTATCACCACAGCACACTGCATCACTTTTAAGTAATATTTTCCAGACTTGTTTTCTGAGGCATATTTGGAGTAAGTCTGTCCTGCATTATACAGCTATTGTCACTACACGACCTAATGGTATGTTGGGGACCGTGCAGAGGAGTAAGTGAATGAGTAAAGGACATTGTGAGTCTCTTAAATCATAGAGTTTTGATGGAATTTCCTTTGGGAATCATTTAAATCAATAATTTTCATTGGGATAGAGAAAACACTTTAAGCGAGAGTTTTGTCTATCATTTATCTATCTATTATCGATCCATCTACCTACCATGTGAATATCTAAACAATCATAACTCTACTTACCTATAAGTATCTATCAATCTATCTATCTATCTATCTATCTATCTATCTATCTATCCACTCATCTGTCTTTCTATTTTCAACAGTTATGCAGCAGGTCTAACAGTGAAATTATTCGATGGTTTTCTCTGATGTTTTCCATTGTTAGGGACTTTGGGTTGGACACACAGGCTGTGTTAAAGTCATGTTGATATTGCATCACTGAGGTGACAATAGCAATGAAAAACTTCTTCCATGGTACAAAAAGAAATGGTATAAAAACCTTCTATACACTGTTTATATATTATGTGTTAATTTAAAATAACACAGAAAGAAAATGACATTTTTTATTTCTCAAGAGACTGAGTTTTTAAAGGTTGATGGGTTGTAGTTTAAAGAGACCTCTCAGAATTGTTCATTATGAAAATTCTAACTGAATGAGAACTAGAAATGTCTGGCAGGATGAGACTAGGGCTTCCAGCCTGAAGCTCTCTGGGTTCAATCCCACCACTGTGGCAAATAAATTGCTTTAGTTTGAGTTTCTATTGTTTCAGTGAAACACCATGACCAAAAAGCAAGTTGGGGAGAAAGGGGTTTATTTGGGTTCTTCTTCTGCATCTCTGTCCATCATAAAAGGAAGTCAGGACAGGAACTTAAATAGGGCAGGAACCTGGAGGCAGGAGCTGATGCCGAGGCCATGGAGGGGTGCTGCTTACTGGCCTGCTTCCCATAGTTTGCTCAACCTATTTTCTTATAGAACCCAGAACTACTAGCACAGGGGTCCAGCACCACCCACAATGGGCTGGGACCTTCCCTACCAGTTACTAATTAAGGAAATACTCTACAGATTTATGTATAGTCTGATCTTATGAAG